TCCCTCCTTCCCTCCTTCCCTCCTTCCCTCCTTCCCTCCCTCCCTGCCAGGGTATAATATTTCTGGGTCTGATTTATTGTTTCAGTTAAAGTTTGGAGGGGGGGTGGCAGATGACACTCCTCCCTGTCTACACCTCCATTGGCTCCATCTCTGCTATGCTAGGGTTCAGGGGCAAGGTCGGTGGCCCCCAGGGTCCTTGCCACCCACCTACGGCTGTTCCATGCCATGACAGCTGAGCCGTGGAGGAAGGAGGCTGTCTCTCATCTGTCCCTCAAAGAGAGCTTCTCCAAATCCTCAGGCCTGGCCCAGAACCTACCTTCCATCCTGTAAAAATGTCCCCCTGATGAGACTGCAGAACTGCCTGCTAATCTAATCGCTGGCCTTGGCAAGCTTATGTGGGGGTGCAGACACAGGATGGGGCAGCTGTGGGCTTTTGCTAAGCTTATTCCTAGCTCCCAGACTTTTACCCCAATATAGAGAACATCATTTAGTTACCCCAAGAGTTAGGGTTCTGGTGAGAATTACTTGCCCCTCCCCCAGCTTTCTTGCTACTTCCCAGTGCCTGGGCCAAGGGTCCGCCCCTGGGGCTGAAGCTGGGGACAGATGGGACCTTGCCTATGGTAAGAGGCCCTTTCTGTCCCCCCACCCCCAGAGTTTTACAAAGAATTGGCCTGGGTCCCCGAGGCACAGAGGAAACACACAGGTAGGGGCACGTCCCTCCTCCCCGACTTCTTCAGCAGTCTTTGACTGGCACGCCTCACCTGTCCTGTGCCCACCGCTGCCTGCTGTCTTTCAGCCAAGAAAGCACCAGATGGCACTGTCATCCCCAATGGCTACTGTGACTTTTGCCTGGGGGGCTCCAAGAAGACTGGGTGTCCGGAGGACCTCATCTCCTGTGCGGACTGTGGGCGATCAGGTGACACTCACCACATATTTTCTGGAAGATGGTAGGGGGAGAGGGCATCTCAGAATCCGGATTTAGGGAATGGGAGGCAAGGGTTGTACTCAGCCCATCCTAGGGGCTGCCTCTGCTGCCGGGGTGGCTTTGTGCTTTCCTGGTGTGGAGAGTAGAGGGAAGTTAGAGAGGCATTGTGGCTGGGGGGACGGCCGTATGGGAGCAATGAATCGCACCGCCTGGGTGCTGTGAACAGCAGGATTGTGTGCTGGAGAACTGTGGTTAATATAATGTGGTTTTCCATGGAGACCCCCTGGGTAGTAAGACTGGTCGCTTCAGCAGCGTGGGTAATGGATTGTGGTCGTTCCAGTAGGGGTTGTCTTTGCAATTTAATACAATAGAATGTGGTTGTTTTGTCACAGTGGACTGTGGCTGTGGCCACCGGGCACTGTGGGCGGAGTCAAGGCTCTCAGGCTGTGTGGGCTGTTGGCATCTGACTCTGGGGGATGTAGTTGTAACTCTTGGGTGTTGCCGCGGGCAGTGGCTGTTGAGTGCTATGGGTAGTGGTTGTCGGGCTCTGTGGGAGGTGCCGTGGGCGGCGGCTACAGGTGTCTTCGCGCTGTGGGAGAGTGAATGAGCAGATTCACACAGCGAGTATTGTCGGAGGAAGTTTGTTTGCCGGTGCCTTGGGTTTCGGGGAAGCAAGGTGTGGGGACCCTGTTGTGGAACTTGGTTGCTATAGCATCCTGGCTGGCAGAAGTCGGCGCCACGTTGCTGTGGTTAGCAGGAGGGCCGGCGGCTCTGCTGTGGGTATTGGAATGTGGCTGCCTGGTGCAGTGCTTAACAGACTGTGGTGGCCACAGTGTTGTGGGTGGTAGACCGTGGTTGCCACGGCACTGTAGGTAATGGAATGCGGTTGCCATGGTGTTCTGGGGAGCAGAGTGTGGTTGTCATGGTGGCTGAGTAGGAGACTGTGGTGGCCAACACACAGCTGCTTGCCCAGCTGTCCAGCTTCCGGATGTCTGTCTCAGGGGTAGGGTCCCACCACAAAGCTCACCTTGACCTCCGAGTCAGGGCTGGGACTAGAGCCGTTACCTCCTCAGGGGTCAGTGGCCATCAGGGGTACAATGACTCGCTAACTGCATCCCTGCCCCTCGACCCCCAGGACATCCCTCGTGTTTACAGTTCACGGTGAACATGACCGCGGCTGTGCGGACCTACCGCTGGCAGTGCATCGAATGCAAGTCCTGCAGCCTGTGTGGCACCTCAGAGAATGACGTGAGTGCCCGCCCCACCTCCCGGGCATGTCCCCAGCTTCCCTTCCGGCCTGGCTCTGCCACTTCTGCCCAGGAAGCCTTCCTTGCCCATAACCCCCGGTGACCAGCATTAGCGTGCAGTACGGTCATCCTTGTCCCTAATGTTTCTTTATATTCTTCCCCATGACACCTCCCAACCTCCCTTGAGGCTGGTGCTTCTGTTCCCACTACAGAGATGCTGAGCTCAGAGAGGGGAGAAGGGTGCCTCAGGTCACCAAGCTCAGAAGGTTGTAGGGTCGGGATTTGAACCTATATATCTCTCCCGAGTTGGTATCTGGCCCTCTGAACATCGTTCCGTATTCTATAGTTAGGAAATCCAGACCGCACCCTGTGAGTTGTCAAACAAGGCCAGTGGACTCCACAGCACAGACTGTAGAGCCGGTTTTCTCAGAAGGGCCCCTGGGACCTAGCCCCTGCCCCAGCCCCCCACCCCGGTTTCTGGTGCCCGTGCCCCCAGGGTGCCAGCTGGGCGGGTCTCACCCCCCAGGACCAGCTGCTGTTCTGTGATGACTGTGACCGAGGTTACCACATGTACTGCCTGAGCCCTCCCATGGCGGAGCCCCCGGAAGGTGAGGGGAGAAGTGGGCGGGGCATGGAGGGGGTGGGTTGGAACGTTGTCTTCCTGGTGGCAGAGACCATGTGCTCTGGGTGGGGACAGGTGGGGGGCGCTCTTCATCGGCTGGAGTCTAATTTTGTCTCATGGCTTCCCCCGCAGGGAGCTGGAGTTGCCACCTCTGTCTTCGGCACTTGAAAGAAAAGGCCTCTGCTTACATCACCCTGACTTAGGCCTGGCTGTACTTCTCCAGGACCTTTGGGTGGTGCTATCTTCTGCCTCTTGGAGCTCCTGGCTCTTCCCACCCGGTGTCCCCAGGGGAAGGGATAGGGTGAAACCTAGAGGGGGTCCAAGGTGTTCTCCCTCTGCAAGTGGAATGTTACCCTGCGGGTGGGCGGGTCCCGCAGGGTCCCTCCTGTAAACCCTCTTCATCCCTTGACAAATGGGCACCAGGCTTCTGCCCCTCTCAAAGCCATACCCCGCCTCTGGGCGGGCATAGAGGGGTCGTGGATGCTAGCCAGCGGCACGGAAAGAGCCTTTTTCTAAAGAAAAAGACAAAAAGTGAAAAAAAAAAAGGAAAAAAAAGAAATTAATATATACAAAGAGTCCTATAAAGCCTAGCTGGGTGGAGGAGCACTGTTGAGTGTCTGCTGGGGACCTGACTTTACCAGTTTCCTGAATGGCGCCTCCCCACCCCGTTTCTGGAGTTGCAATGGTCTCAACTCCCATCTGAGGTGGGTATCATCCCTTGCTCACACCCAGGCCGGCTGGGCACGGTGCCCACCGTGGACACTGCATGATGTGAACCATGGTTTTGAACTCTTCCCGCCCCTCCTTGTTAGCCCCGCCCCGCGCCCGCCCGGTGCCTGCCAGGCCTGGGGCATGCAGCTGGGGAGGCCGGTGGGGTGAGGCAGGCAGGCAGCCAGCCCGCTGCAGTGAGAAGCACAGATTGCAATGGACTCAGTTTTTTTTTTTCCCTCCCCCCTCCCTTCCCAGCCCTTTCCCTACCCAGCCAGGCTGGGCTGCCGCCTGCCCCCCTCGCTAGCCATTTTGGGGGTGGCAAGGGGGTGTGGTTGTTTCTCGTGGTTGTGTGTGTTTGTTGTTCGGGTTTTAAAAAAAGGGAAATTGAGACTGAAGTGGGGGAGGTGGAGGGTCTGGGGGAGTCTGCCCCCGATCCAGGAGTACCCCTCTTGCCACCAAGTCTCCTTTATTGCCTGCCTCTGCTGTGAATTAACTTGTTCTGTGTATTAAACTGGGCCTGACCTCTCTGCCCACAACTGCTTCCATCTCTAACCTCTCTTGGGGTGTCACCGCCATGGGAAGCCAAGGGGCCTCATTGGGGTAGAGGCTGTGGCCGGCCCCCACCCCTTTGCCCCTACACCATGGCTCCCTCTGGCTTTGTCCCAGCTCCTCCCTGTCTTGCTGGAGAGAAGAGGGGGATGGGGTGGAGGGGCTCCCACCCAGCCAGCTGTGGTTGCCATAGCAACGGGCTGCTGCAGCTGCAGCGGGAGGCAGCTCAAAGAGGGAGGTGGGAGTGAAGACTGGGGGAAGGGAGGCCTGGAGAGACCAGAAGGCAGCCCCCCTCCCAGGCTAGGGTTCTGAGATAGCACCTCCGCATGGCTGGCTGTCACTTGGGATTCCCTGTCCTGGGTGTGGCTAAAAGTGGAGGACAGGAGTACGTCTCAAAAGGATTCAAGGAGACGGGCGGGGTGGGGTGGGGGGCTGGGAGTGGAGAACCAGGGCAGTGGTCAGGGAGGGAAAGTGTTCTGAGGCCACAGATTTACTGAATGAAAAAAGGACAAAGCTGAGGAGATCCACGAATGAACAGAGTCCCAGGAATTCCGAGGGAAGAGGACAGGGACGGGGTGGAGGACTAGTCCAGGAAATAATAGTTTTAAAAAAATTAAAAAAAAAAAAAAGGCCAGGCTCTGGCAAGACCAGAGGAGAGAGAAGTGTTTGGAGAGAGAAGCAGAAAATGTACAAAGTCAGAGGGAGAAAATGCTGTGAGGGCACAGGCAAAGCCCCCAGACAAAAGACGCGGGGTTGAGGGAGAGGGGTTTTGGTTGGAAGTCAATAAAGAGCGTAAGGGATCAGCGTCCAGGATGGTAACACACCATGTGGCTCAGAATCCCAACACTGGAGGCTGAGGCAGGAGGACGGTGAGTTACCTGCCATCCTGGGCTATATTATGAGCCTTCTCTTTAAAAAGGGGTGTGGGGGTGCGGACAGACAGAAATCTGGAGAATGCCAGGCGGATGAGGCCAAAGAGATAGCATGGCAGGCTGAGTAGAGGTGGGGGAGGGGGGCAGGAAAAACTGGGGCAAGAAGGCGAAGGGACTACCAGGCGCAGTGCAGGCGCCATCAGGGCTTGGCGTGCGTGTGCGTGTGCGCGTGTGAATTGTGGGGTGTTGGGAGATGGTGGTATGTCTCCCAGGCCAGGAGAGGATGTGAGAACAGTCTGTTCCCGGGTTCCCTCCCCCACTTGGCCCAGGTTGGTGGGGGGAGGGCTGGACTGGATGGGGCCCTGAGGAGGGTGGTGAGATGGGGTGGTGAGGATGTCTGAGTAGCTGGAAGCCCTTGCAAGGGCTGATTCTCCATTGGATACAGGCAAACACCTTTCGGAAGACATTTGGGTGTGGGGTGGTGGTGAGGGTGGGGTGCGGAGGAGGATCAGAGTTCAGCTCAGACTTGAGGAACGCAAGGACAGCTCATGGGGACTGTTCTGTCCAGAGAGGCTGACTTCTCACAGGAGGGTCTTGAGGGTCTTCCCCTGGAATTCCCCTGGAGTCCAAAGTCGGTTTGCCTCGTGCCCCGCCCACCGCGGATGTCCACAGTTCAGCGGGACACAGACCCAGAGCCTCAGGTTTCAAGCTGTCCTCACTCCCATCCTGCCAGGAGGGCCATAGAAAACCTGGTCTTGGCTGAAGCTTCAGAGCTTGTCTGAGACACTTCCTTTACCTAAATGACACCTTACCTCTGGCCCCCAGGGACCCGGGCAGCTCTCCACTCGCTGCGCTGTTGCAGAGTGTTGGCAGAACAACACTCCCACTGTCAGTCTCCACGGCACAGTGGGACCCAGTGGGGAGATGAGTAGGTGGGGCGGGGCACACACATGAAGCGGGGATGGGGAGGGTGTGGGGCCCCCGGTGGGGGCCTCGGACCAGAGCCTTCACACACATCCCACAAACATGGCAGGACATGCTTTACCTGCGATCTCCCATGGTTTTCTTTCGAGACGGACTTCCTCTGTGTAGCCCTGGCTGCCCTGAACTATGTAGACCAGGATGTCCTCAAATTCACAGAGATCCACCTCCCTCTGCCGGGATTAAAGGCACACACTACCTTACTTTTCCTGGCTTTTTTTTTCTTTTTTCTTTCTTTCTTTTTTTTTTTAACGTACCAGAAGAGGGCATTGGGCTCCTTGAGTGAGCATCACCCTGGGGGTCTTCTGGAAGAGCAGCGGGTGCTCTTAACTACTCAGCCACCTCTGGCCCAGAAGGGTTTTTTTTTGTTTTGTTTTTTGTTTTTTTAAAGGGTTTTATTAGCCTGGCCGTGGTGGCACACGCCTTTAATTCCAGCACTTGGGAGGCAGAGGCAGGCGGATTTCTGAGTTCGAGAGTTCGAGGCTAGCCTGGTCTACAGAGTGAGTTCCAGGACAGCCAGGGCTACACAGAGAAACCCTGTCTTGAAAAAAAAAAGGGGGGGGTTATTTCCACTTATCTTGGGGTCAGCACAGGGTGGCCTCTAACTTGCTATGTAGCTGAGGGAAGACCTTGAACTCCTGATGTCCCTTCACCTCCCAAGGCTGAAATGCCAGATGTATACCAATACAGCTGGCCTTGAACTCTCTAGGATCCCCCTGCCTCAGAGCGCTGGGATTACAAGTGTGAACCATCACACCTGGCAAGAGTAGACCATTCCCCTCCCCCTCTGAAGACACGGTCTCAGTGCAGCCCTAACTATCCAACAAGCAGGCCTAGAAGGCACAGAAATGCAGCCCCCTTCCCTCCTGAGCGCTGGGGTTTGTGTCACCCATCGTGCCCACCACGCAGACCTGGCTTCAGCACATTCTACATCCTGAGGGCCAGATTTCCCCTAGGATGCCTAGGAGAAGCTGCGGGGCTGTAAGTGTGTGCTGTGTGGCAGGGGTGTGATAGAAGATCAGGAGCGGGGCAGCAGCTGCCTGACAGCACACCAGCCATTTCTATGAAACGTTTATTTCCGTTGAAACCTCCTGAAACATGCCAGAAATCTCAAGACAGGGATGGGAAGAGGGAGAGGAAAAGACAATAAAGAATGATAAAAAAAAAAAATCCAAATGGAACAAATCAACATAAAAAAAAAAAACCCTGCTGCTATCTCCAGCCATAAGACAGAGTATCAACCTCAAATTAAATAGATTTTTTTTGTGTGCAGAAATTCTTACAAAAATAATAGAACAAAACCAAAAATTATAATTTACAATTGTCAATGTACATGATTAGGTCCCCAAAATGATTTGAATGATCTCAAGATACGAGGAGACACATTAAAGAAAGAAGTGAAGGGAGAAGGGAGGAGGGAGGGGGGGAGAGGAGGGGAGGGGGAGGGGCAGACTCCAGGTTGGGTTCTGAGAGGAGAGGGAGGAGCAGGGGCTGGAGAACCCTTCAGAAAAGGGATCAGGAGAGGGACATCACAGTAGTTGGCCAGGGTTCAGGACACTGGGTGGCCTGGTCTGCCATCGTCATTCCATGGTGAGTGGAGGGCGTGGCAGGTTGCTCCCTCACAACCCAGGGGTTCCCCGGGGTCAGAGGCAGGTCACAGGGAGCTGTGGGTACCTTTTCCTCAAGCCCTGCCCTTCAGCCTGGCCCATCTGGAGCAGAGTGCCTGTTGTGTGTGGTCGTGGGCCCAAAGAGAAGGTGATGGGTCCTGGTCTGAGGGCTGGGGCATCTAGCTATGGCTCTGGGTCCAATCTATGCTGCCAACTGCTTGCTGCCTGCTGCCCCCATATCTCTCTGGGTCCTCGCTCTGACCTCCAGCCCACGGGGTTTGGGGAATCCACAGACTGTGGCCATTCAAACGTGTTCCGGTACAACTCTACATGAAAAAATAAATATATATATATATATTCTTTTCTGTTTGTTTTTAAAGAAGGAAAAAAGGGAGGGGAGGGATTTGTGTTTCCTGGGTGAGCAGCGTGGATCCACCCTGAGCTGCCCCTTATTGCCTTTGGAGAATCTCTGGGGGCTGGGGGCTGCACTGTGAGTGCTCCCCGGGGAGCACAGTGAGCGTGTCTGGTGGCCACTGGGGGATGGAGTGTGGCCAGGGAGACTTGTAAAAGAAAAAAGGGACCATACAGGGGGTGGAGGCTATGCCTCAGCCCCGTCCCCAGGCTCCTCAGAGCAGGAGACAGTGGCCTAGTTGTCCCAGGGGAAGAGCCCATGGCTGGCCAGATCAGCAGCTCAAAGGTAGAGGGGCCTGTGGCTGCCTGGAGAGAAGCTGATAAAAAGATCATATAAACAGTCCTAGCTGTACAAATAGGGTTTCTCAAAGGAGTGGATCTGGGTGCTAGCGGTTCCTGTCCATCTGGGACCCCAGGAAAATAATTTAAACTCTATGAAAGTGCTCCTGGCTGCTGTGTTGAAGGGGGGCTCAGAGGGTGGTATCCATGCTACCTGGAGCCAGTACACTGGGGAGACAGGAGCCCTGGAGTGTCAGGAGTGGGGAAGAAAGGGCTCACTTCGGTCCATAGTTCTCATGCAGGGGCTCCTGGGCCCCTCCCACTGACACAGCTCCAGGAGGCTGGGTCCTAGGAATGGGCTACTGTGGCCTGCAGGGTGGCAGGGAGCAGCTGAGAGGGGCCTGAGACATAGTGCTTGGAGTTCCCGAGTCCCTAAGGAAGGTTGCAGGGCAGTGGGTGCGGGGCTGTGGCTGGATGACCTGTCACCCCTGCAACCAGAAGCCCACTGCCTGCCAGCCGGGGCGGACTGGGGGCCGAGCCCAGGGGAACTCAGAGTTCCTTCTTTTCCTTGCTGAAGAGCTCGGCGAACTTGCGCAGCTGTTCACTGGCGGCCTGTGACTCCTCCTGCAGTCGCTGGTTGTTCTGCCGCAGGCTGGCCACCTCTGACTGCAGCACCACCTTATCCTGCTTCTCCTGGGAGGGCAAAGGGCTGGGTTAGTCAGGTATGTTGGCTGAGGTGCTCCTAGTAGTGCACAGGAGCTGACCACAGCCACCGGGTCCTGAGAGGCCTGGTTGCAAGGGTTCAAATCCCAGCCCCGCTTCTCCAGATGAACCACCCAGGGTAAGTTACTTCAGGCTCTGGATTCGGCTCTGACAGGTGGTTTGGAAAGCCTGCCTGTGGGTTAATTCATTCATTCATTAATTTTAAAGATATGGTCTTAAGTGTGTAGCTCAGGCTAACCTCAGCCTCCCCAGTGTTGGGGGGGGGGGTCACAGGCGTGCACCCCAGCACTGCCAGGCTGAAGTCATCATTTGATATCCATTCTCATTGTCACCCCCTCTACCCTGAGATGGCTGTATGGATGCCGTAGACACAGTGGCCATGTTGCTCAGTACATGTCCTTCCACGAGGGACTGTCTTCTTCTTATTTATTTTTTGGTCTTTTTGAGGTAGGGCTTCTGTGTAGCCACGGCTGTCCAGGCTGGCCTCCAACTTACAGAGATCTGCTTGCCTCTACCTCCCAGCAATGAACGGGCAGGCTGAGGCAGGGGGACTAAGGGCAGCCTGGACTATTTCTCACTAAGTTATTAGCTTGTCTTGCACGGTGGCTGCTGAATACACCTGTTATTCATTGACCCGTTTTAACTTATTTTCTGATTTCTGTGTGTGTGCAGGTGTGTGCAGAGGTGCAGTCGTCTGAGGAGGGCTCCTTGGTCACGCTCCATCTATTCCTTTGTCTTTCTCTTCACCTGAGCCTATGGCTCTCTTGGACAGGCCGGAAGGCAGCAAGCCTCTGTGACCCTCCTGTTTCTGCCCTGCTCAGAGCTGGAGTTCTAGGCATGTGAGGTACTGTGAGGCTTGACTGAAACTCTTGTTTGGCTGCAGACTCCCACATGCATGGCTGTGCTGTCACCTATCCTGCCACTATCCTCTTGATGGTCAACCTCTGCCTCCCACTTTTATGTATCTCAGGCTGACTGAAGATTCAGTATGCAGCTGAGGCCAGCCCTGGCCTTTGGTTCTCCTTCCACCAGGACCTGAGAGCTGGGATTCCAGCATCTGTTATCATGCCCAGCTCAGGCAGTGCTGGGAACCCAGAGCCTTGTGTGTACTAGGTAAGTGCTCTGCTTCCTGAGCTACCTGCTGACTTCCTCCGTCCTTGCTGATGGGGCTAAGCAGAAGCCAGAGCAGAGGGGCGGGGTGGGGTGGGGGAGCCAGTGCTGCCTGGTACACTGTAGGCCTCACCTTCTGCAGGTCCGTGTGCAGCTGCTTCAGCATCACCTCCAGCTGGTACACCTTGCCTGTCAGATCCAGGGGTGACTCCTCACTGGAGAGACAAGGAATGAGGTCAGCGCTGAGGCCTGACACCTCAGAGGAGGGCTCTTACCCAAAAGTTGGGAGAGGTTTGGGGTACAGACCCTCTGGTCTCTGGTCAGTCCTCGCCTTCCTGAAAGCCCAGGGGGTACGAGTGACCAATGAGCAGATCTGTGGGGAAGCCAGAGGCAGTCCCCGCCTGGCCCTGGGCCCAGGCCGCCTGTGCATATATGCTGAGGAAGCACCAGGCCAGGCCAAGGCTAGGTGGGAACAGCCCTGAAATACACATCTGACCCCCCCCCCCAAGGAGGGGTATGCGTGTGATTTTAGGACGCGCCTTCTCTGTGTACTCATGAGATACAAAGAACTCATTCAGCCTGTGTGTAGTGAGCACTGCAGACTGAGCCCATCCCGAGCCCGTGCAGTCCATGGTGGGCCAATGGACAACAGTGCCATCAATGAGGACGACACTTAGTTCCAGTGGTCGGTCAGTCTGACAGAGTCTCCAGTCCTCTGTGGCCTGTGAAGGTGCCACGACTGCTACAGAGCAGGAAGTCCAGGCTGAGGCAGAGGACGCTGCCTACCCAGGTGCTGGGACCAGGACCCACTGCCTGGGCTCCAGCCGTGGAGACTCAGGCCCAGGTCTGCCTGGCATCTTGCAAGCAGATGGCACCTTTTCTGCACAGAGGGGAAGATAGAGAGGCTCTGGAATCTTCTTACATTTGGAGAGGCTTGGGGAAGGGCTGGGGCGAGGCTGCTGGGTCCTCCTGGCTTTCCTCCTCTTTTCCTCCCCCTTCCTGGTCCTCATCTTAGTAAGTACAGAGGGACGTGGGAGGGTAAAACCCAGGAGTGGCCCCGAGGGCCACAGGCCCTCAAAGCCTTTAACCATAGCACCTGTTTCCTATGACTACGGAGGCCCGCACTTCTGACGGGAGTCAAGATCTAAGACTAACCTTAGGCTGTGAAGGGTGGAAAAGTGTTATGTATGTGTATGTATGTATATATATATATATATATACACACACACACTCACACATGTGTATATATATGTGTGTGTATATATATGTATCAATCTCACCATATTCCTCAGAAAAGGCTTCCAGCAACCATTAAGCATGGTGCAGGCCGCTGGCAAGCAGAACCTCGTGGGAAGCACACAGAGATGCTGTGAGTGCCCTGGTAACCCCGTGCAGGCAGCAAGACCCTTAAAGCTTTCTCTGCCGAGTGCGAGTATTCAGTCAGGGGACGCTCTGGGGGCGTGGCTCAAAGTCGAGAAAGCATGAGACCCGATGTCCTGGGCCATCTCGGGTGGCCTGCAGTGCCTGCCCGCTCCTGTCTTGCGTACGTGTGCCGCCGAGCTCTGGAGGTTAACGGACAGCAGTGTTTCCAGGGAAACTCACCTCATGGTGGGAGTGGTTCTTGGGGTCTGGGGGCCCCGCTCCAGGCTCAGATGGCTGTGCACAGGGCTGTGTGCAGGAGGGATCTCTGGGCTCAGGACTGGGTCGTTCAGAGAGAAGAGTGACACAGCTCTTTGTACTGCCAGGGAGAAGGAGAAGGGTGTTCAGTTCTTCCGGGTGGGCAGGCAGGCAGGCAGCCTCGGCTTCTTCCTGACATCTCTTCCTGCCTACCTTCGTCCCATTCCCTCCCCCAATCATTCTCTGATCAAGTCTCATTTTGCTGCTCTGTCTGGCCTTGAACTCACGGTGAATCTCCTGCCTTAGCCTGAGCCAACACATTTGGCCCTTTTTTTTTTTCTTTTTTTTTGGTTTTTCGAGACACGGTTTCTCTGTGTAGCCCGGGCTGTCCTGGAACTCACTCTGTAGACCAGGCTGGCCTCGAACTCAGAAATCTGCCTGCCTCTGCCTCCCAAGTGCTGGGATTAAAGGTGTGTGCCATTATCCCCCGGCTTCTTTTCTTTCTTTTTAAAATTTATTTTTTATGCATGCGTTTGTCTGTGTGAGTGTCTGTGGAAGTCAAAGGAGAGTGTTAGCTTCCCCTGGAGGTAGAGTTACATGTGGATTTGAGCTACCCAGTGTGGGTGCTGGGAGCCAAACTCAGGTCCTCTGGAAGAACAGCAAGTTCTCTTAATCAGTAAGCCATTTCTCCAGCCCTGAAAATTTTAAACAGGATCTTGCTATGTAGCTCAGGAAGGCCCCTGATTCTCAGAGAAGACTCAGAGAGAACTCAGATTCCTGTGTTTTTTTCTGGCTCTCAGGGGCTGAATATCCAAAATTCCTCAGAAACTCACAAGAACTAATAGGGTTCATAATACAGTATGAATATATCATATCTATTCTAGGCAGGGGCTCTACCACTGAGCCACGCCCCCAGCCCCTCACTGGGGGATTCTAGGCAGGGCTCTACCACTGAGCCACGCCCCCAGCCCATCACTGGGGGATTCTAGGCAGGGGCTCTCCCGCTGAGCCACGCCCCCAGCCCCTCACTGGGGGATTCTAGGCAGGGGCTCTCCCACTGAGCCACGTCCCCAGCCCCTCACTGGGGGATTCTAGGCAGGGGTTCTACCACTGAGCCACGCCCCCAGGCCCTCACTGGGGGATTCTAGGCAGGGGCTCTTCTGCTGCTCATCCCTGCAGTGCTGTGGTTCATAAGAACTTTAACAAGCACAAGTTCATCTAATGCTCACAACTTGTAGGGCAGAGGGACTTTACAGATGAGCAGCTGAGGCATGAGGGGTTAATGGTGTGTCACAAAGCTCCTCACAGGCAAAGCTGGAGACCACACGTAGGCGGCAGTCTCCGGTTTCCCTGTCAACCCATTTGGTGCTTCCTATGTTGGGAGCCAGCCAGCTGAGCTCCGAGTTTTCAGATCTGGTCTGTCCCCACTGCTTGCCCTCCCTCTCAAAGTCAAGGATGCGAGCAACGCTTGGCCTGTACTACCCTGTAGTGGGGATGTCGGGGTAAACATGACGTCCTTGGGGCTGCTGCTAGATGGCAGAACGTGTGGTACACAGACACAGAAGTCCCGTTTTAATTAAAACCATTCTTGCTTTTCTACTACGGTCCTTTGGATAGAGAGGGCAGTATGAAAAATGCCCACCTAGTCCACACATGCCTTGTGATGATGGTCTCTAGGTTGACTGAGAGGGTGGGCATTCAGAATTACAAAACCTTAACATGGCTGGGCTGGGTCAGGGGTGGCACCACAGCCCTGCAATGCCAGCACTGGAGAGGCTGAGGCAGGAGGACCACAAATCTGAGGCTAGGCTGCAGAATTCTGAGCTAGGCACAGTACATACACCTATAATCCTAGTACTCAGTAGACAGACCAGGAAGGAGTTCAAGCCCAGCCTGACCTACATGGTGAGTTGGAGACTAATCTGGGCTATATGATACCTGTCTAAAACAGAGAAACAGACAGACAAATCTGTTTCCCAGGGTCTTTTAGTTGGCAGATGGTAGTCCACACCTTTAATCCCAGTACTCAGGAGGCATAGACAGGTAGAATTCCAAGACCGAGGCCAGCCTGGTCTACAGAGTGAGTTCTAGGACAGCCAGGGCTACACACAGAAAATGCTGTCTCAGAAAAACTAAACCAAACCAAACAACCCACCTCCTCCAAACCAAACAAACCCCCAAAACAAACAAAACAAAACAAAACCAATCAATAAACCAAACAAAACCAAACCAACTCGCCCCTGCAAAACAAAACCAAGACAACCCAGGATTTTACACACAAGCCTCTACCCTTGTGCTATCCCCCAGCTCACAAATTCCCAGTCTGGGTAGGCACAGCTGAGGGCTGAGGGTGTGGCAGACAGGCAGTTGGTAAAGGCTTCCCCTGAGGGAAGGTGTGCCTCTTTCTCCTGTGCTGCTGGCTGAGGTGAGGAGAAGGTACTCAGAGTCATCTGTGACAGGCAGGGGGGGAGGCCCTACAAACTGCATACCAGCGGGCTATGAGGACTGTGGGTCCTACTCAGTTTACTGAGTTTAAAACTGTTCGACCAAGACTTTTTTTTTTTTTTTTTTTTTTGAGACAGTGTCTTTGAACATAGCCCTGGCTGTCCTGGCACCTGCTTCATAGACCAGGTTATCCTGCCTGGATTTGTTTTGCTTTATTTTGAGATGGGTCTCATGCAGCCTCCAGTAGGGTACCACTTGTAGAGGGCTTGCTCTGGGCCCATTTTTCACAGGACCACTATGAAGCCCAGGCTGTTGGTGAGGGATCTCCTTCCGTGGACCAGGTAGCAGGGGATCGGAAGAGGTCGCCTGCTTGGGCTGCATGGACAGCAGATGACTATGAAAGGCTTTAACTTTGCTCTCTGTGACTCTGGAACACGGGCGTGAGGTCTAGCAAAGCCACAGGCCCTCTAGTCATCCTCTGAGGATCAGGAGCGGGTGGGTGGAGGCTACCCACCTTCGTAGGCCTTGGCTGCATTCACCAGGCTGGACCACTCAAGGCCAGCGGCTGTGTCCGGTAGTGGCATCATCCCAGGGTCAAGTCGCCGCAGGGGTCGGTCCCGTCCCTCAGCCAGTGAGAGCTCCGAGGTGGAGATGGCGGCTATGTGGGAAGGTGGAGACGGAGAGACGGGCTGAGTGTGACAGTCACCACGGAAGGGAAAGAGACTTCATACTGTTTTGCACCAGGGAGAGGCTCCAGCAGGGCAAGGGCCCTGTCACCTGGGTGTCTGTGGGGGTGGCTTTCTATATATGGGACCAGGGAGGTCCTGCTGAGGTAACCTTGAAGCTCTGCAGTGGGAGAGGCCGGGGAGAAAAACACTCATGTGGAACGGTCCCAGAGCTCTGTGGAACACTGAGGAGGCCTGGGAGGCTCAGAAAGAACAGGGCTGAGTCAGAGAAATGACAAGGCTGGTGTGTCCACCTGAAGTGTCACAGTCCCTCCTGAAGAGGTATGTAGGCCACCCCCGGGATGTGTGGACAGGCTATCTGGCTGGCCCCACAGCAAAGCGGTACAATGATGTCCTACAATACCATGGCAGATCTCGGCAGGACTTACAGCCTATCAAGGGCTGGGTGGTAACCTCCAAATCTGTTCTTGAAGCAAACACCCAGAATCCTGGTATTCTGAGGTATGTCTGTAAGGCAGAAGCCTAATACACAGAGGCTCCCAGGGTTTGTGCTTAAGGTGTTCCTAGTCTAAAAGGGAAGACACCAGAGTGGATGAGGCTGCAATCGGGAAAGCGGGCAGAGTGGCCCGGCGTGGGTAGATGGGAGACTCTCGAGACTAGTCTGCCGGGCTGAGGGGACGGACGCTGGGCTCGAGAGTGTGGCAGAGGTGGAGTCTGGGCCTACATACAAAGCACTCTCAGCTCCTTCTGGCTTCATGTTGGGTGTATCCTGTCTACCAGATCCTACCGAGGAGCAGGCAGGGCTATTAAGGCTGAGGGCAGAAGCAGGACACAGAGGTGAGCCTGGGAAGCATGGCTGCCTTGCCATTTTTCTTTTCCAGTTGAGATGGGTCTTGCTAGGGTTCTAGGCTGGCCTCAAACTCTCAAACTCATGATCCTCAAACGTCTACGTGCTGGCCTCTGGGACCTGTCGGGAGACGCTGTTCCAGTGGCCCACGTAGAGGGGATAGTCATAGATACCTGCTAGAGGAGAAAAACGTGTGGATGACTCGCACCCAGGAACCCCAGCAAGCATGGCATACTTGGGGAAGTCAGGACACTAAGGAAATGCTCAGGAAGTGAGCCGTTTTTGTGGGAGCAGGAGACTGATAAGCAGCTGGGGAGCTGAGGATGTCCTCACTTGTCCTTGGGTGGGAGGCGGGGGAGGCTGACTTCCTCAGGTTTCAGGTGGCCCAACGGGCCAGTAATATTTGCCCCTTGAGGTTCCCTGGAGCACCTGTATACCCTTCCCTCCCTCGCCAGGCCCAGCCACACGTGACCACCAGGTGCCCCCACGCCTGCCCCGGGGATGGGGGGGGGACCTGCAGCCCCAAATGCCCAGGCTCACATTTCTTCTCTGGGAAGCCATTGCCAGTGGCTGGACCGGTGCTGGGTGCCCCGCTGGGTGGGTGGGGGTGCTGGTGCTGGCGGCGGGCGGGCAGAGTGCTGGAGGGGAAGGCACAGGTACTGGTGAAGAGCACATCGCTGGGTAGGCCGGGCTCCAGGCTGGCAGGGCTGGCGAAGCTGGGCTCCCGGCGCCCACTACACAGGCTCTCATCCGACAGTGTTCGCTGCAGGCTCTTCTGGGGGGACTGCTGCCAAGACAGGGGAGGATGAGGGCTTGGCACGCTGGGCTGTGGTCCCAGGCCTCAGGGGCTTTTTGACAAGTTCTTGTCTACCCAGCACTCATTTCTGTACTCTTACTGGTCAAAGCACTAGGCTTTGCCAAGGGTTCCCAACCCTTGACCTGTACCCACGGCCTCTGAGCCTATCCTCCAACTGTGAGCTTATAGAAGCCCTTCACTGAACTCATCCGTGCCTTTTCTTTTCAGATATGGTCTGAGCTAACCACGTAACCCAGGCTGGCCTGGAACATGTGATCCTCCTGTCTCAGTCTCCTGAGAGCTGGGATGACAGGTGTGTGCCACAATACCCAGGGAAGAGCTGCCTCGGTTCCCACAGACTGCTGGCATGACAATGGGGGATAGGCAGGGCAATGGAGGGACCACAGTGCCCGCTGCTTTGGTCTCCCAGTCTTTGGGGAATGAGAGTCTGACTTGTTTCTGGGAGCTCCTCCTTCCTGCTTGTGGTTGTGTTCTGAAGAGCTGGGTAGGACCGTTTAATTCTTGGCTTCTGGGAAAAAGCTGTGAAGGCCCAGGGCCTCTGGGGCCTTCCTCAGCTGGCTTGAGCCCAGGCTCTGTCCCTAATTAATAAGAGATCCCCAACTGCTCTCTCCAACAGGGCCAGCGGACACCAAAGGCTGGGGGCAGGGCAGAAAGCATCAACCCTCCCAAACTTGCCCTAGGCCACCAGCCACACGCATCCCCGTGTCACATGCACTCCCGTGCCCCACGCACCCCCATGTCCCGATCCTGCTCTGGCCCCAGGTTATCCATGATGATAAGCTTTTTTAGGTCATCCTCGATGGTTGACTTGTAGTTCTTCCGTGGGGACCGGAGGTCTCGCAGGGATGCCCTCAACCGTGGCTGACCAAAGACGTTTTTTGCATTGGCGTCCACCTGCCTGGAATGAGAACACCAGTCAGATTGCTGAGCTGCTTCTCCAGGCTGACATCTGGGGGAGTGGGAGACAAGGGAAGAACCCACCCAGAAGAACATTCCAGGTGAGAGAGCGAGCAAGTGTTGAGGTGATGTCTGTGAGGGGCCAGGGACAGACTGACTGTGTGAGATTCCAGATTTAAGAGCCACTCTGTGGATTTGCAATTGCCTCCAAGAGACCTTGGGGGTTGAACTGATGGCTGGCCATCATTAGGTCCTCATGTGTGTGTCAAGAGGATGGGTGGGCGGCAGGGCTCATGAGAGCTGGGTGGGGGGAGGTGAGCAGGTCCCTGACAAGAATGATGGGGTACCCCAGAAGTCATTACCCCTGCTTTAGGAACTCTGGGGTTTCTGGTCCCGTCACATGGGATAACTCTCCCCCATACCACAGGGACCTGAGGACGAACTGCTGCCATCCTAGGCGTGGCCTTCTGATCCAGAGGGTGGTGGGAAGCGGGTCTCATTCTCCTCCTCACTCTATGCCATGCTGACCCACAGTGGACTGGGGCAGGAAAAGGAAGGGACAGTTTGGCCCTCAGTCACACCCCTGCTTGCTCCTGCTGTGGGCTCTCAGACAAATCCCATTACATCTGTGGTGATTTGAATGAGAATGGCCCCCAGAGGCACAACCTAGGTTCTTAGCTGGGGGAACTGTTTGGAAAGGATTAGGACCTGTGTCACAGGGGTAGGCTTTGAGGTTTCAAAAGACTCTCCCCATTCCCAGTGTCTTTCTGACTGGTGGCTGTGTTTCAAGGCACCAGGAATGCCTGCCTGCTGTCGCGTCCCCCATCATGATGGTCATGGACCATCTGAAACTGTAGGCCCCGAGGAAATACTTCCTTTCTAAGTTGCCTTGGTCACAGTCTCTTCACAGCTATAGAAAGGTGAAGACAATGTCCACAGCAGGAAAACGCACAGAGCCCCATCCTGGGAGCTGCTGACAGGCACCCAGCTGGCCCCTGACAGAAGCGGATGTTTGGAACAGAGGCCCTATGGCTCCCAACTCTCTCCAGACCAGCTTGCTCACCCATGGCTCCTTGCCTTCTATCCAGAAGCCCCAAGGGCCAGTGTTACTTGCAGGCCTCCTCTTGCCTCTGTTTGTTGCCTGGCTTCTTGCCTGGGACTGACAATCTGGGCTCTGACTTGAGTCCTTGACAGCAGCAAAGTCCTTATGAGACACCACCTTGCACTGAGCTCTGCGTGTGGCTTGGCTGCAGGGCTGTTTGCTCAGCATGCACTAAGCCCTGGTTTGTTAGGTTCAGCATGTGCCTGACGCCAGGTGTATTGTCGCACATCTGCAATCCTAGCACTTGGGAGGTGGGGTCAAGAATCAGGAGTTAAAGGTACTTGTAACTATGTACTGAACCTGCGACCGGCCTGGGCTACATAAAATCTTGTCCTAAAATATAAACTAAACCAGATGAGGGGCCGGAGAGATGGTTACCTTGCTTGCTGCTCTTCCAGAGGGCAGAAGTTTGGTTCCCACAGCCTATGGTGGGCGGCTCACAACCACTTGTCACTCCAGCTCTGGAATCAGTGCCCTTGTTGGCCTGCACATATGCATACAAACACATGTACACACAGACACATGTACACACAGACACATGCACACACATAGGCACACACAGACACACACATGCACACAGATACACACACACAGACACACACAGACACAACCAAGCAAACAAAAACCAAGAAAGCCACTCCCAAGGACATAGGCTTGCTTTTGTTTTTTTGAGACTGGGTATCTCTCTGTAGCCCTGGATAGTCTAGAACTTTCTCTGTAGCCATGCTGGCCTTGAACATGTAGAGACCCAGTTTCCTCTGTCTCCAGAGTACTGAGATTAAAGGTATATACCACCATACCTAATTTCTTTTTTTTCTTTTTGCTTTGTTTTTCGAGACAGGGTCTCACTGTGTGGCCTTGGCTGTCCTGGAACTCACTCTGTAGACCAGGCTGGCCTCGAACTCAGAAATACACCTGCCTCTGCCTCCCAAGTGCTGGGATTAAAGGCGTGTGCCACCACCACCCGGCCCCTAATTTATTTTTAACTTAAAATTTTTTTCTTTTATGCATCTCTGTGTTTTGTCCACATGTATTTCTGTGCACTGGTACCTATAAAGGCTGAAATTGTCAGCCCTCTGGAAAAGAAGCCAATGCTCTTAACCACTGAGCCTTCTTTCCAGGCCTTTTAAATCAGGATGGGATCAGACCCAGGGCCTCCTTCGTGCTAGGCAAGCACTCCATTACCACACTATACCTCCACTCCCCCTGCCCCTGCTTTTCCTTTGTTCTTCTGCTTGGCTCTTTTGAGAGAGGATTTGCTATGTGGCTCAGGCTGGCCTGGGACAAATTATCCTCCTGCCTCAGCCTCCTGATTGCTCGGGTGAGAGGCATGAGTCACCATGCCTGACTCGGACTGTTATGTTTATAACACAGATGGACTGAAAATGAAAAACTATTATGATATGTGAAACATGCCCACATTTGATTTAGGAAATATACTTTGCTTACAGAACACTCTGGGAGGTATGAAGACTGATCTCTGGGGAGCAGGAGTCTCATTCCGTGGTGGAGAGATGAGACTCTCCCTTCTGAACTGTGAGTCTATTTTACCACGAGCATGTGTTGCGACAACAATCATCATAAGCAGCCTAAAGCAGCCTAAAGCAGCCTAAAGCAGCCTGGCGTCTGGCCTTTACCATTTGTTACTGGAGAAAAAATAAAAAATGAAAGAGTCTCTGAGCCCAGAAAAGAAGTGAGATGTTTTGGGCTGGGGACGTCTCTGAAGTCTTTATCTTCCTTTCTGTTTCTCAGTGGCTGCCCTTGCAATTTTAACAAAGGCAGGCAGACAGGGCAGGAGGTTTTCTTTGTCCAGCCATATTCCTGCCTAAATCAACCTGCTGGCTGTCCTTTCCGAGGAAGGAATTCTCTGGGCAAATTAAAAGCTTAAAATTGGGAGGAGAGCAGGAAGAGGCAGAAGGAAGACAAAGCAAGTCTCCCACAAATGCTCTTCTGAGGGGGTTGGAAGACCTTCCCTCCCCAACCTTTGAATTTTGACTTTTCTCAGAATTCTCAGTGTAAGTTCCCCTGCTCTGATAAGGAGTTGGTCAGACTCAGGGCAGAAGAGCGTGTATGGGTCCTAGCTGTGGAGCTAACACAACTTGCGGAATCTATGTAGCGGGGCTAGAGTCCTCAGTGGCAGAGTTCTTGCTTAGCATGGATTAAAAAAAAAAAAAACACCAAAAACTTTTATTTATGTATTTGTGTGTGTGTGTGTGTGTGTGTGTGTGCACGTGTGAGATGCTGAGGATGGAAGCGAGTGCCACGTTACACAATTGCATTTCCATTGAGCCACACCCCAGCCCCTCGCTGGGGGATTCTAGGCTGACCTGCTACCTTTAAGCTCCATGCTAAAATGCTAAAACAAATAATTCCCTCAGGCAGAGCTTGGCTTTACCGCCTCTGATCTTCTTTGTTTAGCTAGCTCTCTGGTTGTTCTGATGCTTCTATGTATTTAAATGCTAAATACTGTATCCCACCCAAGACCTGCTCCAAGACTAGCAGATCCATGTATGTATGTATGTATGTATGTATGTATGTATGTATGTATGTATGTCTGTATGTCAGCTTTTGTTATATAAACCTTGCCCCCTAAGTTATCCTGATTGGTTAATAAGGATACCTACAGCCTGTAGCTGGGCAGAAGAAAGGTAGGCGGGGCTTTGGTTCCCAGACTTGGAGTGTGAGGCAGGGACCATGAGGGGAAGAAGAGAGAGGAAGAAGGAAGAGATGCCCTGGGGTATCTGAGCACATGGCTGTGAGGGCTGGCCTGTTGGGGTAGGAGTGGTCCAGGTAGAACACAGCAAGTGATATTTTGGGACTATTGACAGGAAAGTAGTCAAAATAGCACAGAGGGCTGGGCTGATATCAGCCCAACTTGGGTGCTTTAAGGCTTACTATAATTCTAGAGGGTTTGTATCTTTTATTTGGGAACTAAATGATCTAAGGTGGGTAGGAACCCCCATTAACACCCCAACACACTTGTCTCTACAGTTATCCAAATCTGATGACCTTAGGGCTGGTGGCTGTAAACAATTCCATGGAAAAGCCACTCCATAGCTCTTAAGTACAAGGCCACTTTAAATGCCCTACTATAAAGCCAATGCCAAAAGATGCAAAGGGAAAGGTGTGGAAACACACGCACAGCCAGTACCTGTGTTGACACACACGGAAGGGAGCAAGGAGCCACAGGTGGTGCACACTCCCATAACTGAAGCAGAGAGGCTGAGGCAGGGGGACTGTAAGTTCAAAGTCACCCTGTACAGTGACAGCTTCGAACAACAGTAATGAGAGGGCGGGGAAAGGAAGGAAGGGAAAAAGAAAAAAGAAAGAGGGGTTATTGAAGAGATGGCTTAGTTAAGAGAGTTTGCTGCCCTAGAGGAGGGCCAGGCTTGGCTTCGAGCACACACACAGTGGCTCACAGCCCTCTGTAACTCCCATGCTTCTGAACTCTGCAGGCGCCAGGCACGCACGTGGTGTAGAGCAAGCACTGCACACACGACCTCGTGTACAGGGTCACGCTCAGCATGTGTCTGCAAGCCCCGCCCTTTGGCGGGAGAAGTGGGAGCAGGGGTTCTGGTCATCTCCAGCCCGGGCTGCGTGAGATCCTGCCTCAGTGGGTAAAACTGCGTGCTATGGAAGACTGAGACGGCCTGAGTTCCATCCCTGGAGTCCATGGTGGAGCGAGAACTTCCTTCTGAAAGCTGTTCTCTAACAGGCCTGCTGTGGCATGCACGTGATCACACAATCCAACAAGAGCCGCCACCAAACCTAACAACAATCCCCCTCAAGTAAAGCAAACAACCCAATGACAACAACAAAACCTTAAACATTCTGCAGTATTTAATTTCTTACCGTCTGTATTTTACCTGTCTAGCACTCCGAGATAGAACTGTGATTTG